AATTTCTAATTTGTCCGAACAAATAAAAATATTTTTTTACCTGGCCCTCCAGCGGCGCCGTAGTAAACCACAAAAAGAAAGTAAATGAATGTTATAGATAGTCAAAATTATGATATCAATGAGGTCTCTGTTATAGCGATTGATTACTTTGCCGTCTGTTGTCACAGTTGCATCGGTTGTCGCAGTTGCCGGTAATAGGGTGTGAATCATGCCGAGCAAAAATTACTGCAGTTTGCCTTTTAAGAACATCTCTGGCCGTAACTAGGCTTACATTTTTAGTGAGGCAAAGGAAAGTGGAGGCAACCAAGCTGGTCAAAGGTGGTTACTGGAGGAAGGGGGATATGGGTTTTAGGCAATGAAAGACAAGATTTGAAAGTTTTTACATTTTGAATTTTTTTTTTACATTCTTTCTAGACGATAATAAAGCATCTCACGAAATGATCGATTTACAGAAAAGGAAACAAAATTTGCAAGTCTTAATTTTTACAAAGATACATATAATTAATTTAAGTATACTTTCAGAAATCTCTAAAATTTTAGTGAGGGATTTGCCTTAATGGTACTTGTGGCCTTGTGTGGGAGAAATCCTGCAGGTAGATGCACGCTATTCCTCGGGGAAATGTTTGTATAGTTGACTACGGCTAGAACAAAAGCGATATATGAGAAACATGCATTTAGCGACCGGAACGGATATCAATAAGGTTTTTGTAAAGGCTGAAACACATATCGGTCCTATAGGTCAAAGCACATATTCACCTAGAAGTGTTCCTTTACGATAGTTAACTATAGTTTACTTAACTAAGCTATTATCAATTTCTTTAACTATACTCTTCAAAAAAAGAAACGCATAGTAGAATTTTAGTGACACATTGAACATAAAGATTATGAAGTAAAATGATGTTTTGATAAAATAGAAATGTGGTTAACAACAGGAATACTATCTAAATGTCATAATTACTCAAGAATTTTAAAATCATTGTCAGTTTAAGGTCATAAAAGATCATAAAAGATCAATATCTGGTATGCCCCCCGCAGACACAAATGATAGCCACAAACGGCATCTATTGGAAGCAAATGTGTGTAATTAAAAAAATGTATAGGAATACTCTCCCACTCTAAATGTAGAGCTTTGGTCAGCTGTTACAAAGTCTGGGGAATCGATTGTCTTTGGCAAATCATGTCAATCCAATGCTGCTTAATTTGGTTTAAATCTGGCGATTTAGATGACTGTGACAGAAACAGGTTGCTTTTGCTTTGCAAGAATGGGAGTGGCAAACGAGCCGTATGTGGCTGTGTATTGAGAGATTGTAATAAGGCTCTAGGATGCTGCAAAATTGAATAGGCAGGTGTAGGTAGAACGTGATTAGAGTACCTTTTTCCTTCAAAGTCCTTTGAATTCGAACCAAATCACTCTTACTTTCATATAATACCCTTTTTAGCTCACCTGAGCTGAAAGCTCAAGTGAGCTTTTCTGATCACATTTTGTCTGTCTGTCTGTCCGTCTGTAAACTTTTCACATTTTTGACTTCTTCTCAAGAACCGCTGGGCCAATTCCAACCAAACTTGCCACAAAGCATCCTTGGGTGAAGGGGATTCAAGTTTGTTCAAATGAAGGGCCATGCCCTCATTCAAGGGGAGATAATTGGGAATACTAAATTTAGTGGTATGTTTTAAAAATCTTCTTCTCAAGAACCACTGTGCCAGGAAAGATGAAACTTATGTGGTAACATCCTCAGGTAGTGTAAATTCAAGTTTGTTCAAATCATGACCCCCGGGGGTAGGACGGGGCCACAATGGTCGAACAAAGTTTTACATAGAAATATATAGTAAAATTCTTTAAAAATCTTCTTCTCAAGAATAACAAAGCCATAATTGATGATATTTATATGGAAGCATCCTAAGGTAGTGTAGATTCAAGTTTGTTCAAATCATGACCCCCGGAGGTAGGGCAGGGCCAAAATGCCGACCAAAGTTTTACATAGAAATATATAGTAGAATTCTTTAAAATCTTCTTCTCAAGAATAGCAAAGCCATAATTGTTCATATTTATATGGAAGCATCCTCAGGTAGTGTAGATTCAAGTTTGTTCAAATCATGACCCCCGGTGGTAGGGCGGGGCCACAATGGCCGACCAAAGTTTTACATAGAAATATAATATAGTAAAATTCTTTAAAAATCTTCTTCTCAAGAATAACAAAGCCATAATTGGTCATGGGACTACTTTTGGATTTAAACTTTTCAATAATAAACCAATTCTACTTTTCCTAGCCACAGTGCTCAGGTGAGCGATGTGGCCCATGGGCCTCTTGTTCATATCAGTACACTACCACCACCAATTTTTATAGCGTCCTGGAGGCAGTTATCTGTCTAAAGTTCATTACAAAGCATTAGCACTCTTCAACTTATATGAGGATTTCCAATCAATATTCTGGCCTAGTAGCTAAACCGAAATGTTTAATAATGATACTATTGTCATACTCCGTTGATCTGATATCTTAGATGTCGATATTTGGGATGTTGTGGGGTCGGAACAATGGCATGAATAATCCTCTCGCAATAATTCGTAGTCAACTGAAAATGCTCTTGTTAGATGATCTATGCAATTCAGGGAGAGCCTAAGCTTTAGATGACGTCATTGTGATACATTCATGCAATTTACGTAATCCTCTGAAGTGATGCTGTGCTGATGATGTTATACGTAGTCTACCATATTTTTTGCGATCATTGGGTGTTATATGTTAATGGCTTATGTTTAATAGTTTAGATAGGGCGCTGTGCGTAACACTAAAACATCTTGCAATTGTAGACTGTGGTACCCCTACTTCCAGTCGCCCATTTTGCATTTTGTGCTATGCAACATTCAGATGTAGCATTTTTAGAAAGCGTCAATTTTTAGATTAGTCCGCAATATCTGACATTTTCCTGGCTATTTTACTGTTGCGCCAGGAAAACGTCAGAACTGGCGCCATTATATGTACGAAAACTAGAAATTTTGCCGTCTCCAACCGGAGTTGATTTTCGATACTTGCGAACTGAACTAAATGCCAAAATTAGAATTTAACAATGACAAAATGTTTCTTATACTCGCCAATATCGATGAAAAGAAAATATAACTCTACACTTCGATACAGGACTTCAAGATTTTAAAATGTGCGAAATGATAACAAATCTCATAAGTCTGATAAAATGTTTTCATCGGATTGTATATTTCATAAATGAATCATAAAAAAACGATATTGGCAAGTACTAAAAGTATTATACGTTTTATTAACTTGTATGTTTGAGTTTAATTCATTTCGCAAGTATCTAAAATTAACCCGAGAATGCCGCCTCTGGGTGGAGGCGGCGATTTCCCAGTTTTCGTAATGGCGCCGGTTCTGACGTTTTCCTGGCACCTCAAATATCAAAATCGTAAAAAAGGCAGGAAAACGTCAGATACTTCGGACTATTTTCAGATAAAACCAGATTCAAAATATCGAGAACCCCCGCTTTCGATAGCCCCTTTGTAGTCGAAGGAAGTGCATCAGAAATCAACAAATGATAATGGAGATAAACAATTTTAGGGGAATTTTGCAAAATCAGGTCTTTTTGTCTGTTAGACTTGTAGAATAGCTGTAAAGTTAACAATTGCTTTAAAAAATCAGGCATTTCACTCGAATGCGTAATATCCATTTAAAAAAAATAGGTATTGCAAAACTACCATCATTATACATTTTTCAAGGCATTGTTCCTACTATTCGTATCTTTTTTTGAAGAGTTTATATTAAATAAAACTTTCATCATAGTGAATAATTTTTTGCAGAGATTTCAAGTGAATCTTATCCACTGTTGTTTGTACATGTACATGTACATAGCAGCCATCTATGATAGCCAAGGTTTTTGATATACTACTCTCCTCACAAACCCTTGGTCTACAAATTAGGATTTTTTTCTCGAGTTGTATCCAATCAGCAATTGTTTTTTTTTTAAGTGGCGATATGTGCGTTCGTGATGCATCTCGTCTCTCATCTCGGGGATAAAAAACGAAAGTCAACGATGATCCGTATTTCATTCTATGAATAGCTACTGAGTCATCCAATTCCGTAAGCTACCGTATGTGCAAAATATGTGATTAAGAATCTACAATGAAGATGCACGTATTTACTTTAAATAACAAAAACATAACTCAACACTATATATCTTGTTAATTATTCTTTTTTAAATACACTTCTTTATTTCTGTCGATGACGCAATCTGCGAAAACAACTCCCGACAGCACTAAATTTATACATGTATATAGATCAAGGGTTTATGAGGAGAGTAGCGAACTGTGAAATCACTTTTGGGGGGATGGGATGGGTGTAATTTTCACGGTTTTTGAGGTATTGAGAGAAAAAAAGTTCTTGATTCGGAAATATTTTTTTAACCCATAGTATAATAATTTTACTATGGGATAAAAATTATTTCCGAAAAAAGTGCTTGTGGGATTCATGACCACCACAAAATGAAAAAAATATATCCATTACTACATGTACTACAAAAAATTATCAAACCACGAAATTAAATCCTTACATTTTCCCCCCTATTCTCGAAAATTTGACCCACTAAAATATGTGATTTAACAGTACCAGACAACCTTGGCTAGCTAAGATGCATGGCAGCGAAAAAAATCAAGACTGAATTGCTCTTCAGATATTGATTGTTCAAAAGATTTTTTAACTCGTGCAAGACGTCACCCTTTACCGTCTCGTAAATAGTCGTACATTACCATATTTCGATCAATATGATCTCGTCAAAATGTTTATGGAATCTTTTCTAGAGAATATTGACAGTTTATATTTACAAAACGCCGATAATCACAAAATGATTATTTAATAATAGGTGTAAGTATCATACATGCAGTATCCCAGAAAAGTATTCACCGAGTTTTAAAACAATGGTTATGAAGCAACTTGAATTTAAAAATAAACTTTACAGAACGACATTTTCTTTAAATTATAAAATCAATTTAAATATTTTACCTTATAAAATGATGGTACAGCAAAATGACCACAAAACAATTGCGCAGTTTGATTCAAATAATAAAGACCAACTATTTTTAAAGCTGGGAAGTTCCAGTCTGTTTCCTCCAATTCAAAACAATACTTTCTTTTTGTTTTCCACGAACTAGCACTATGTTATGCTGTAAAACATATGTGTATTTATGTATATAAAGGAATTTATGGGATCTAAATGCTTATTTCATTATCATCTTACGTCAGCGGATGAATATAATATATATCTCTTGGTTTCATTTAAACATTGCCCAAATATTTTCTTTGCTATATTGATTATCTGAAAAAGCTCATCCTTGCTACATGTATAACCAAGTGCTATAAACAGGCTGCGTTGTTTATGTTATATGATTTCGAATCTTATATAATAAATTACACAATGTAAAACAGCGATATATCGAGGAGAAAGGATAAATGTTTATAATCAATATTTTGAAATTTTGGTTAACCTAGAATTTCTTCCTGCAATAAAAAGCAATGAAATCTCAATTTTTGCGACATACTCAATGCTATGCATACACTATAAATAACATAAGTTTTTTTGTAATTTTTTTTTAAGTTTCACAAAATATTAATACTTTTGGATTCAATTAAAAAGCCCAAACATATGTACTGTCATTTACAATTTTTTTTCTACTTCGTTCGCTGAATTATCAAAGAACTCCAACCACATTTCGAAATTTTAAAAATATCCTAATGGGCTAAGTTTTGCAAGAAGAATGGCTGATCAATAGGAGTCTGAAGTTTTTATCGCCCCCCCCCCCCCAAAAAAAATCCCCTCAACTTAAAAAACACCAGGATAGCAACGTGTTTTGGGAGGACCCACCTGAACAAACAGAAATCGTCAGAAAAAATTCGCGACTAATTCAGTATCCAGAGTGTTTGTGCCATTTATTCCGGTTAAAAAATCGAACCTTCTTGACGACTTCGAGCCGTGAATGACCCCCCCTTAACACCTTCATATCTCATCCTATTTATTTATAATTTTTGACGATAAACACTTCAGACTCCTGTGGATGATCATGACTAAAGAAGCGAAGTTAGGTCTTCCCAAACTTCTTGTGTTATAAATTTTACTTGCAATGCAGACTTCCTTATTATCTTATTTTTGTATTTGCTTTCTTTTTGCACAGTTCCATACATTTTTGTAAAAAACAAAATAAAAAACATTATTTAATGAATACCATATTTGATTGTAAATGTTCATGTAGAACTTTAAAAAAATATATATAAATAATTCAAACATAAAATAAGATGAAGCTTATTACTTTTTGGATTGTAAATAGTCACAATCAAACAAATGCTTATGGTATTGATTGTGCTTAAAAATCATTAATGTTATAAGTGAAATTGTTAGAATAAAGACAGATCATAAATTATCATCGTTGTTTTGTGTTAACTCCGAGATAAATACTCCAGTCCTTGCATAACAAGTCATGACATTATATATATAAATCTGTATACCAAATTTCATTTCCGTATGTGCAGCCTCTGCGAAGAAAATAAACGGAAACTGCAAATAATTAAACATTTTCTTAGCTCTAGGGACATTTCTCTGTTCAAAATTGCTCGATCGTACCCAAAATAAAACGTCCTAGATAGACATTCTAGATTAATTTGAATACCAATTTTAAATTTATTACGTGCATTCTTTGCGAAGAAAATGAACAGAAACGGCAAATACTTAGTAACTGGAATTTATCTAAGTCCGAAAGACATAACTCTCTCCAAAATATCTCGATTGTACCCAAGAAAAACTTGACTAAGATTATCTGAAGATAAAATTGACTGGGAAGAATTACAAAGATCCTAATAGGAAATCGCTCCGTTTACATTTCCCAACTTCCTAATGGCAAAGCACTCCCCCAAACTACCGTCAGCGCGTGCTTAAAATGTAGAATTCACCAATTTGGTAAATTCTCATCAAAATAAGAAATAAAATGTCGCAAATGCTGACAAACTGGCCATTATACAATATATATTTTACCTAATGTGTTCTTAAATAGTCTCAAATTATTTAATCTCTTCCAAACTTTTTCGTAAATATCATAGATATGATTATTCCAGCTACAGTCGGATTGAAAATGAAGCCCTAGGTGTGTATGACTACTGGATTGTTCAATAATGCTTCCGTTTTGCCCAAAATGAATGTCTGGGAAAAGTCGTTGATTTCTTGTAAAATTAACATTGTACTCTGTATTTCTTTTCTTATGTCATTGTTCAATATTTGTCCAATTGGATGAACTCCAGAGAGGATAACATTTCCCCACAATTTCCTAAAGATGAAACAGATGTGTCGTGCATCAGTAACTGGATTTCTTGCCAACCAGTTCCTTTTTTTGTTTTTTGTCTATTTCATTTTCGATATAATCAATATTGAATTGCTTTCCGTATTTTTGTTTGGCTATTAGGCCTTATTTGAATCTATTCAGGCCAGTGAAAATCAGGAGCGGATTCTGAAAGAAACAGATGTGTATGGCCCAAAGAGACGGATTTTTCCAAGATATCCTGTTGCATTTGCATCCAGTACTGTGGCGTACCTCTTACTCTTTTGAAAGAAGCAAATATTTCATCATCTTTGAAGAATGCTTTGAGCATTTCTGGTTGCTGTAGCTGTCCAACAGAAATATCTTTTTGCCTTGATTTCTTCAATGACATGGTAATGCTTTCATGAACTGAAACAGATTCAATCCAATGGAGACATTGAAACGTGTATTCTGGCGATTCTGCAAAACGAAAATCACTTGATAAAATTCTTGCATTCACATATCTTGGGGCTTATCTGCACTGCTCTCCTTTCATGGTATGTTTTCCTACCATCAGAAAAGAGGTTTGGAAATGCTAATATTTCCCAATTCTTTTGATAAAACACAGATGTTGGAATTTGCCCTTCAACTGGAGCAATATTTTATTTTTTTCACTTGTAACAGAAGGCCCTCCCTCGGAACAGACACAGGTCACTGAGTTTAAAGAGGTTTGTAGTTTAAATCTGCAACAATGTGCTGAAGAACATCTTGTTCAACTTCATCTTCTGAATCTGTTTTTTCTTCGTCCACTTCATTTTGATTATCAGATTTGTGAAGAAAATGAGCATCATTTTCAAGCCCTACTGAGTCACCAATAACGTTCATTTCTTTCATTTATTGTAGAAGTTTCTGCAGAATGGTGTATATGCAGACCTCCAGAGTTCTTCGTCTTGGCATTCGCTTTGTGTTGTCCATTATGGGTTAACAGCGATATCTCCATAACATTTGTTCACTTCTTGTAGTCATGCAAAGGCATCATTAACATACTGAGGCAGTGTGTTTGTTTGCAGAAAGTATCCTTGTCAGATAAACTTTGTTTGAGATTTAAAGCAATCATTTGAGCCTTTGATTTATTACGAGGTAGCGATGATACTGTCTGCTTAACAATACATGGCTCTTAAACAACTTGTCCCTTCAAACCGTGTTGTGCTCCTTTTGGAACAGAATGAATTTTCATGAAAGGAATGATTTTTGAAATCAGTTGCTTTTGAAGACAACTTATTGATTTTAATATCTTAGGCACTTCAATAACTTTCAAATTATTCTCTGATGCTTGTTATGGCATTTTTTTCTAGCAAAGCTGTTGGTACATGACAAACAAGCCCATTGGCTTTTATTCAAACTTAAAATTGTTGATGCTTGATTAATTAATTATCTGTTACACGTTTTACTGAAGCAAGGAATAAAAATCGATTGCACACACAACACTCATATGTGGATCCATCTTAAATTGTCTGAAAAAATCTTTTAACAACAGTTGTACTACTTCATGAGTTGTTACCATGTCTGGTCTATATGATTGTAGCAGGCTGGTTCTGTCATTTCACTTATCTTTATCTTTTCTGGATAACATTTGATAGGACGAGTTATTCCTCTTTACACATTACCGTAAAACAATATATAGCAGCCCATGGACATTATGGGAGGCGGGGGTATCATTTAGTGAGCTCATTGCTCACAGTACCTCTAGTTTTTTCTTTTTATTAATTCCTTTTTGTCTGTGGATATCCTTTGCCGTTGAAATCTTTTCCTAATGGTGTTAATTCCTTTTCTTGAATGCTCCTTTGAGATTTTATTTCTAGTTGATCATTGTGAATTCCTGTCATTCATGTTGTATATAATGGATCTGATTTAAATCTGCTTTGACAGCAAGTTGGTCCATTCTTGACAGCATAGGAAACGGTTGAAATTTTCCTGATAAAAGACTCTAACATGAGTCCTCATCTGGTGCACATTTAATGTAATGTTTTCCAACTGCTTGCCAGTAAGTAAATTGAACACATTTGCAGTAGCAAAAATGCACGTAAATTGCTACAGTCTTGTGATTGTGGGTATGGATAAAATGCATTATTGATCATATTATCTGCACCATACAGTAATTTTAGCCGTGTTGCAATACATTCAAATGCCTGGTGTTGTATAAACTATCATATACAAACAATTTCCATTCACTTGGGCAGAAACCATGTAACGGCCTGGTATAATGTGAATCTGGAGCAAATTTGAGACATGGAATTTTGGGATGTTCTCTACCAGACTTTTCTAAACCATAAACATATGAAGGTGGTAATAACCCATCAGAGCACTGAAAATAAACTGTGCTTTTTAAACTTGTAATACAAAATCCATCATCTGGACGTCCATTTCACCACTGAGTACATCATTAATAGATACTCCATAAAATGACTCATTATGAAGAACAATATCTTCTGTTTCAGTTTTTTTTGTGTGTGAATCAGATACCTGTTTTTCTTCCTTTTTCTATCCAGAAATAGCTTTTGGGAAAGGTTTTTTTCCTTATTCGTGGCATGATTTCTGTTTTCAGTTATGCTAAAATCAGTTCCGTAAAATATTTGACAAATGAAATATCTGATAAGATCTTTAGGTTTCCTTATACGGAGAAAACCATGCAGATATATAGAAAAAACCATATGGAATATGGCAGTGGTTTCCATGGAAGAACAAACTAATTTTTATTATTAACTGAAAGGACACCCATTGAGAGTCAGAAATTTGTTGTTTACTTTTTTGCATTGGTTGTTTCTATTTTTACTGGGTAACAGCCAATAATTCATTTTGGTCTTTTAAAAA